GTTCAGTAAAACACAACTACATCTGAAAAACTAGAAGAAAGCAACATTACAAGGTCAAGAATGTTCACATTTTGTATGCAAGGCCTCCTGGAGCCTGAGGGCGGCTCTGCAGCGTGTCTGCCAGCCACAGGAGGCAGTTGGGTCTCTCTTCTTTAACAGCCACCACCTCGTCTGCTCCCTCGCACAAACATTCTGGTCTTTGCAGGATTCATCAGCCGCCTGTTACGCCAGGCTCCTCTGCCGCGGCTTGATCCTCAGATACAGCTGGGAAATAAAGGGGGAAAGAATTTCTCATTAAAACATCATAAGATAAGATCAAAAACTGAAACGTCTTGGATCAGACTGTCAAGTCACAGGATTCTCAGAGCTGCTCTGAACCCCGATTAAAACAGATGAGATTTAGGAACAACTGGAGGAAAGACCAGGGACTCGCGCTGGAAGGGTCGACACTTGCCAGCTAAAACACGGCGCCTCCCCCTCTGTTAAACTTTATTTCTTTAGTTTCTGACACATTTTCTGTAAGCATGAAGACTGTGCCTCCCAAATGACCTCAGGATGATGCTCTGGGTGTCAGTGAAGGATTTAATAACATAAATCTGCAGGAAACACTAAATCCATGTAACCCTCTGCCTGAAATCACAACTTTAAAGCTGCGTTCAGCAAATTCAAACATGCAATTACTAAGAGACTGTGGTCGACTGGTACACAAGGTTTTTGGAGTGCGGCCCTTACCCAGAAATACACCTGGCATAATAACCGACTCACCCCCAGCAGGTTGCGGGGGATGTAGCCCTCTCGGTCGCCACATCTCGCCCACCACCACTCCGTCTCCACCTCGTCCTCCCGCCTCAGCACCGTCATGCAGTCACCCTCGCTGAAGCCGAGCTCGTCGTCATTCTGTGGTTCATAGTCCCACAGGGCGTACACTATACCCCGGTTCATCACGCCCATCTTCTCCTGAACGCCTACCAGTACACAACAAAAGGGAAAAACCATTTAGATCATGTCAACAGATCTTCCTGATGTTACATTAACTTCCCCC